ATTTAACTGAGGAAGAAGTGATGCCCTCAACTTCCACAGGCCAAAAACGGGCACGACACGATATTCAGGCATCGACTCCAAAAAGAAAAAAAGAAACTTCCTTACTGGTAATAGTTTATTAAGATATTGTGTTATCCAGCATAACATTGTGTTCATTTTCAAGGACTGTCTCAAGGAATCCCTGGAGTTACAAAAAAATTTCAACAGAAAGGTTGAAGGCGTTCTGGATTCGTTGATGGAAAACCGAGAAGAGAACCTCGCAGCCATGCAACGTTTCTGTGACGCAATGGAAAAAACGAACGAAACGTTGGATGGCATCAGAGAAGACTTTAAAAATCACCATGAAAATATAGAAAGAATACTACATAAAAAATAGCAACATTTCTTTGTAAATACGAATTTCTTTATTTATGTATGAATTTGTTTTGTTTTGATTTATTTTTTAAAATTATTTTTATGTATTAGTTTTTAGTACAAGTTTTCTTTAAAGTATATTTTAAGATGAAATGAGTCAATAAAAATGGTCCAGTAAATTTCTTTTATTCTTTTTACATTTATTTCATTTAAATTAAATAAATTTAATTACGAAATAACACTTCACACTTCAAAAAAAACCATATAACTGAAAGTTTGAAGCTTTGTAACAAATTTATAAAAATTAGTTAAATTTTCATCAAATATAAAACTCAGTATTTTTAGAGAAATGTTTGACATGTAGTCCTATAGCCCATTTAATTATAGTTTATGGAGTTTTAAGTAACGGTGTTACGCATTTTCTTCCAACTATAAACTGTAATAAAATCGTCTTTAAGACTACATGCCAAACATTTTGCTAAAAAAAAAAGATTAAGCAATTCGAAACTTTTATGAAAATTTTACTAAATTCTGTTAATTTGTTACAAGGTTTGAAACTTTCCGTTACATATGTATGTGAAGTATTATTTCATAAACAAATTTATTATATAAAAAAATTGAAGAAACTTACTGCGCGATTTTCACTGCCACTAACTGTGTGTCTGTATATGCGAAAAAAATATAAAAGACATTGAAAAATGAATAAATTTATCTGAACTTCAAACTGTAAGATTGTTTGCTATTTCATTTCTGACACGAACTCCTTCGTTATATAACGATGATACTCTTTCATCATCGATATTATTTTCGTTGTTCATATTTTGGAAATTAATATTTTCTTCATCGAAGTTAACGTTGTAGTGTCTACACACATTGTGAAGTGCGCAACAGACATTAATAATTTTAACAACTTTTTGTGGACTGTAGTGCAAGCAACTAATTAAACAACGAAATCGAGATTTTAAGACGCCAATAGTTCGTTCAACAATATTACGCGCAGAAGCGTGTACTACATTAAAGTTATGCTCTATTGTATTGGCAATTGGATTCCTAAATGGAGTTATCAAAAATGGTTCAAAGCCATAACCACTATCGCCCAACAAATGAAAACAACGCTCGCCACCCCGATATTTTGCCACAAAATGAGAATATGCATTGCTGAGCTTCCAGATAAAAGAATCGTGGCTGGAGCCGGGATGCGTTGCATCAACAGCTTGAATTGTCATGTTGTGATCACATATCTGCAATTTATTATTTAAATAGAGAGACTCGTAAACAAAATAACGATATGTTCATGTACATATATACTCACAATCATAGCATTTATGCTGAAATAACCCTTCCTATTGTAATACGAGGGGGCATCCGTTAGTGGCTTTATTAATTCGATGTGGGTGCCATCAATGCACCCGATTACACCAGGTATCCCCCATTTGTTAAAAAAAAATGATTTACATTGGCGTCGCTCACTTTCTGACACATTTAGCTTGATCCACTTTTGGCAGAGTTTCCATTCGAGGACGGTAAGCACATTGCCAATAACTTTGGAAACAGTGCTACGACCTAATTGGATATTTGCATCTGTTCCTACTGACCTCTGGTAACCTCCTTCACCAAAGAACCTCAGTGTGGCAGCCAATTGAATAATAGGTGAAATGGACATATTTTTTAAGTATGGTTCCACTTCACTTAATACCATGGAGAACGCATCCTTATTTAGACGGTATTGAGCAACAAATCTATATAAAGATTAAATCAAATTATTAGTAATTTATAAATTTTCATTGAGTAAGCTCACAATGCATCTGAGAGACTTAGCGGATTGCTGTGGTCACGCAAAATTCTCCTCTTTAACTTTTCCATGTTATTTTGTTCTCTAATTTCAATGGCAATCGCAGCCACAAACCAAAAACTCATTTTCTTCAACTTTTTGTCAAAGTTTTCAATAACAAACAGTCTACTCTTTCACAAATGAAATAATTACAATGAAATATAAATGTAAACAATGGACGCAGCAACTAAACATTTCAATTTTGACACTTCGAATAGGATTTGCTTTTTGTTCGAATTTCTCAATTTCGATAGGATTGCCGAACACCTTTTTGATTCCTAGTCGGAAATCCAAATCGATGCGAAATCAATTTCGATCGGATTTCAGAACAGCCCTGAATAATGTATGAATTAAAATTACGTAGCAAAAATTGGCACTCTACCA